CCCCCCGACTCCCCGCCGGTACCTGCCGCGGCCGTGCGCTCCCTGCGTGGGTTTGTCCGGTTGAGATGACACGAAGCCGGGAGGGGATGTTGGAGAGGTCCCTGCTCGGCCGCGCACAATGGGCTGAAAATAAAGCGGCGTTTGCGGATGGAAAGAGGAGATTCCCTATTCCCGGGATCGCGTCCCTCTTCCCGCTGTGCTTTCCCTCCCCGGAACACGATCACGGGGGTTTGCTCATGACCTCACCGCAGGTTTACAAGGTAACAGCGTGGCAACCATCTCCAAGCACCCGCAGGCCCCCGGGTTAAGCAAATCTCTGCACCTCATCCATAGCACTGAGTAAATACATAAAATAAATAAAAACCCACCACACACAACTACAAAAGGCTCTTGCTAAATTAAGTCTGTCATTTAATAGCACTTGGCAAAATGGTAATTTTTAACAGCTATTTTATGTAACACGTCTTCACTGCTACTGACATGACTGTGGTATATTCCATTTTAGGATAACTGTCTAGAGAAAAGCTCCAAGATTGTTCCTCATAAACCACAACAGATCCATGAACTACATCCTCAAGTGCAAACTACTGTCTCTGTTTGCTGGTCTCTGGGACACTGTGAGTGTCTGTAACTCGTAGGAGTCAGCAGTAAGGGCCTCGGCTGGGCATTTAGTGTTTCTAATCTGTCTCCAAAATACGATCAATTTCATGTAAACAAATGCACGTCTAAACTGTTCTGTAAAAACCTCTAAAAACAGAGCCTACAACTTTGACAATCTTTCCTGGTGTTTAGGGGTTTGGTTGTCAGGGCCCTACCAAAATCTCCCTTTGACACTCAAGTCTACTGGTCCAAGACCAGTTTGCACCGACGATCAAAAATGGTTCACTGCTCTCTGTGCGGCACAGTCAAAGCTACATTAGCTATCAATCAATATTTGGTATATATTAACAGAAAAAAATCCCAACTCCTGCTCTTCCAAACACCAATTGGTGTGACAGCTCACTGTTAGAGAAGCAGTCTTCCTCGTGACATTGCCTTCATTCTCCTTCTATTTCCATCTCCCACCTCCTCACATCAGCCATGACAGCTGGCAGTTGCTCTGCTGAGCCCCACTTACCTCGGTGAAATGGCACAAAACGTGGTGCCCACGTTCAGCTCCTGAGGGATCTGCCAGCGCTCGCTGAAGGCAGAGGGGCAGGAGCACGGAGCTGAGAGCAGGGAGAAGCAGCTTCCCCTTTGGATGGTGGTGAACTGTTGTGTTGGCTCCCTTATTTCATGAAACCGAAGCTTCTGATACTTAACCCCGACATCAAGCCATCCTGCTAAGATCCTCTCAAGGCTGTTTCCCTCATGTTAGATCTTAAAAATAATGTAGCAAGAGGGAGGCAGCTCAGCTGGGCTGATGGGAGCAGGTCTCCACCGGAGCACTGAGCTGAACCAATTGGGCTAGTAAATTGGTGGGTGTGTGGGGAAGGAGGCAGGGAACAGAGAGCAAGCACAACTGTTCCTTTCACTAACGTATCACTCCAGACGTTTAAAAGTCTGCTCCTGTTAAATGATGTTGCACCGTGCCTTCCGCTAGGTGTGAGAATCACTGTGCACCCAAGATGAACAAAAAGGGCTTCCTAACTTACTCATTTTTGATATCCACAGCCTGCATACAACAACATAATCTAAATTTCTAAGTCGTTATAGAAGAATGGGCTCAGAAAAGGGACAAAACCAATGGTTTTATTAAAACCAAAAGTATCCAGTGCTTTCAGCTCTTACATTTTGCCTATAAGCAATTCGCACATGCAGAAAGCTAATCAACAGTTTCAAGTGTTTACTCTTAAATAATTTTACAACTGATGACAAACAGTTTTAATTCCAAAAGATGTAAACATTTGCTTGTGCAAATCAACTTTTAACACACTATGGCTTCTTACATTCGTCTCTTGCAACATTATCAGCATCTAAAACCTGCTTCTGCACCACCTAGTTAACACTATACTACTGCTCTAAAAATAAGTTAAACCCATCCTCTCACATTAAAACAAAACATTTTACTGCTCACAACTGAAAAGACTTGGTACCTATTACAGAACACATCACTAGATGAAGTTTTAAGACTTTTCACTTCTTGAATAAACTGCACATTTGTTTTCCATGTATTCTAATAATTCTCCACTGTGTGTGTACACATCAAAATAGAGTCCATTTACCTACTCAACAAGGAAAATATGCTCCCAATTTACTCCAATAGAAACAAAACCCATGGTCTCAAAAGAAATAGAGCTGGTGTTAAGGTCCAATTTAAATATCAAAGTCGTACTACAATACACTTAAAACTAAAAAGTCAATTAATTTAACTACCAGTACTCAGCATCAAGACATTTTCTTTCAAATGTCTGTTAGTTTTAAATGCCTGAATTTTATTTTTTTAAAAACTTGGTACTTACTCTAAATACTGCAAAAATTGTTTTGGGAGACACAGTATGTTTTTACAAGCTGAGATAATCAAATATGAGATCTAACACAAACATTTGTAAAAACAGGTTATTTTTGTTTTAGAATTCAAATACATTTGGGTGAACTGACTAGCATTTACAAAAGTTTTGGTAAATGAAGAAAACTCCAACATAAAACAAATTGTTATTTGTACAAGTCCTTGACTTGTACAGTCAAAAAATAAACCAAAAAATACAAATAATTAGAGCTAAAAAAGAAATTATATAAATTTAGATTTTCCAAAGGTTAACCAAGTTACAGTAAGCCCATTTACCATCGTATTTCATCTTATAAGTCTACTGGTTTTGTAGCTGGTAGCAGTTTCACTTTAGATATTGGATTCTTTGGAGAACCTCTATAACGAATTCCTTCTCTTCCTGAAGCACTTCTTGTGATGGAAGATTTTTCTGGGGCAGCACCTGGAATATTTATATTTGCACTAACTTTTAAACCAGATTTCACTGTTTCATGATTGGTTAGATCTTCCAGAACAGACTTTGATGCATGAGTAGTTGCTTTCTGTTCATGGATTCCAGCAGTTCTGACAGAAACATCAGGCTTCTCTGATGAATTTAACGCCCTGCAACACGATTTTGATGTTAATTCTAGCTGCTTGCGAGATACAGAAACTTGGTCACGTGTACTTTCACCCCTGAGTGGCAAAGCCATGGAATTCTTTGAGGGCTTTTCCGTGCAGGAGAATAGTGCAGAATCATAGCTCAAAGATTTAACAAGCGGTGAACCAACATCACTTGCTTTAAGCAGCTGAGAGCTCACGGATCGTCTGTTTGCCTCCAATAAGGAATTAATTCTTCTTACAGACTGTCGAACAGGAGTACGTTGAAACTTAAGAGGTAGTTTAGTTTTGCTTGCAGAACTTGGATCATTTAATGAAAGCTTGTTGAACCATTGTATGTGGTCAGAAACCTTTACATGGTCAGAAACGGTTGATGATGTAGTTGAAGTTTTACCAGAATTTTCAGCTTGCAAGTGTTGGCTGCCTCCTTCACTCTGTGATTTAGGCAACTTCAAAGTAGAAAGCTGCTGTCCTGCCACGGGAAGTTTAGTGGGATCCTCTTCCAAATTACAGCATTTTACCATACAGTTTTCAGCTGGTTTTGATTGTGTTAATTCTATTGCCTCTTTTCCTCCAAAGGAATCTGATTTGTTTAAGTCATCTTTTGATGAACTGTTCTGAATGCTCAGCTTGTCTTCCCTGGCCAGTACTTGAGGCGCAGGAAGTTCTGTTACATTTTTTACATCTGGTTTCGGGATCTGAAGTTCAATCTCAATAGAAGTTTTGAAGTTTCTTTTCTCCAAAATTTTATTTTCATCTTTTTTGGATTGCTCTTTATCAATAACAGAAGATTGACTAAATTGGTGCAGCTCTCTGGATTGTGTATTTACTGGATTTTCAGAAACTTCTTCAGCTAACAGTTCTTTCTCTGGACTGAGCCCTTTGAGACACAGAGTTTCATTTAATGTTTCACCTGCTACATCTGAGAAGGAAGATTTTGTATCACCTATCAAATTGTGAAGATTACTCCCAGATGCAGAGAAGGCTTGCTGAACTTTCAGTAATGTTTCTGCAGTTGAATTACTTTCCTCTTCACAAAACAAAAGTTCTAAACTCTTGTCCTGTTTGCTTACAGTTGTGGGTTTGAATTCATCTGGAACAAGTGTTGGCTTTCCAAATATCAAAACAGATTCTGAAGAACCAATTTCTGCTTCAGGGTGTCCTGGCAGAATCCCCTCGTTCCTGCTGATTGCCTGAGAATATGTAACAGTAGGACTGTACCATGACATTCGGTGAACCACTTTATCCTGACATTTTGGAGTTAGCAAGTTTTCTTCTGACTTGCTCACATTCCTCGAACC